AGGCCAGCCCCCATGAGGGGTGGGGGTGGGGAGGGAGTACCACCCAGCCCCACTCTGCTCCAGCCCTGTCCCCAGCTGCACTCCCACACCAGACTCCGCTCCCAGCCTCGGGCCCCAACTGTGGCCCAGTAGTGGCTTTGGACTGCGGCTCCATTCCTGGCCCTGGCAAGAGGGGAGGACATAGACAGGGATAAGGGAGGGCATGACCCTGAGAAGTTTGGGGATCACTGATCTAGAATCAAATGCACAGCGCCATCTGAGGACCTGATATGTCTGGAAGAATCAGAATAGTTATTCATTGCTGTGGGTAAAATGTGTACAGTAATTCCCCCACCCTCCAAAGCTTCTCACACACCCACAGAATACATTCTGCCCCCAGTTTGAGAACCTCTGCTCTATACTAATATTCCAGTCATGAGGTTTATCCCACCAAGTCTCTGTGATGCATGTTACATCATGATTTTGCTTATATACAAAGACTTACAGTTCTTCCTGTTTATTCCCCATACTTCTTGCATTTCTATACTTACATACAAGATGTTGAGATTCCCCCCATTGGTTTTCCCTCTTGTTGAGCTTATGAACCTATTGTAATTTTCCATTCCCCACCCCCCCCCAATTTCCAGCCCTCTGCCAAGATCACCTTTTCATACTTAACTGTAGGGTTTTGTCACCCTGCCTCCTTTTAACCTAGTTTAAAACTCTCCTTACTATGTTAGTGAGTAAGCAACTCAAGATGCTCTTCCCCTTCTTCATCAGGGTAAGAGATTGGGGAAGGAGGACTGCTGTGGATCCTAACAGCATCCCACCATGGTCAAAGAAGCCAAAATCCTTCTGTCAACAAACATCTGTGCAGCCAGGCACTCATCTCCAGGATGCATCTATCCCTGCCCAAACTCCTATCCCCAACCAGCAGGACTGATGAGAATACCACGTTCACCCTCATTCCCAGAGCCCTGTTGTAATCACTGCTGATCTGCTCACTGTCATAGCCTGGCAGTATGACCAGCAGCTTTCATTTTGGGAGACCCAGTTTCAATACAATAGCCCCCAATCAATTCACAGTTTGGTTCAGTCCCATCTGTATATCAAGGCCACATATCTGAACTGTGCTACAGCCTTGCTGAAATACAGTACAAAGTCAGCAGTGACCTAATGAAGATCATGTCCAGGCACATTAGGATAAAAGAGGAGGAATCTAGCAAGCTCAGTATAAAAATATACCTTTTAAAAAAAAGTGTGTGTGTATAACCAAGAAAACAGTTTAAAAAAACCCAAAACTGCAATTCATTCATAGATGCTCTATATAAGCCTTTATCTACTATAGGGTTATAGCAGAGTCCTCTCTTACTGTCTGAGCTACCATTTTTCCATCCTACAAATACAACTAATTCAGAGAACAGTTACTCTGCTTTCTGATCAGGAAGGACTAGCAGAGTACACCTCTACCCCGATATAATGTGACCCGATAGAACACGAATTCGGATATAACACGGTAAAGCAGCGCTCCGGGGGGCGGGTCTGCGCACTCCGGTGGATCAGAGCAAGTTCTATATAACGCGGTTTCACCTAGAACGTGGTAAGATTTTTTGGCTCCCAAGGACAGCGTTATATTGGGGTAGAGGTGTATTGGCAATTCTTAGCTACAGGATAAGCAGAGATACCTAAAGGTGAAGGTTTAAAATGGTACAAAATGCAACACAAAATATTAGCATTTTTTACTGCCACTCTTGCTAATTTGCAGTCTTCTATCACATACTAGGTCTTTCATGGCATTGTGGCTTTCCAAATATTTGTCTCATTGAGTGTTTTGCATTGTCTCTCCAAATATTATCAGCGTACATTTTTCTAGGCTAAATCTCTTTTTTATTTGTTACCCATATTCCTAACTTCATTGTCCCTTTATTTCTGTATCCTCCGTGGTTTACTTGATGGTTATTATTAGGATTTGCTTTATTAAAGATTTAGTATTTGCCTTTTAGCAGTTACATATGGAGTACCCTCATGGTCAGTCTATCATCACTTCCAGATTTACAGTTCACTAACTAGAAAGCACCCCACATTAAGTGAAAACACTAAATTAACCCTCGTGCCATGGATCTGATCACTCAGTTTGACAGGTTAATTCAAAGTACTTAAGGATTAGTGACAGGAATTTGTAGTGGCAACAGGTTAATTTTCAATGGAACTGTCTTGTAGATCGTAAGAATTTTTCCATATAACCACTTCTCAATAAGTGCCTCAAAACCCTAACCTTCCCCCGACCCACCATCTAAGGAGTAGCTTTAACTTTTTCCTAGCAAAGCTTTTCTAACCTGTGGATTGTCGTTTCCTGCCTCTTCTTTTAGATTCATTATCCTGAAGAGGAAACTTCTGTGTAGA